AATCTTACCTCTACATATAATATATATACTTTACAAGTACAACATATTTATAAAGAGAAAATCATTCAATTTTGCATAGTTTGTATATATTTTATAATAACCGCGTTATTCTTTTCTACTGCACATGTTCTTCACATGACTTATATCTTTTTTTTTGGAAGCAAGTACTGAATTATTTTCTTTCTCGGTGAAAATTTATCTTGATTTATCTAGAACCTATCTTTAATCAGATTCTTGATTTCAGTTAATCTTACGGAACAACGCGTGCTAATATAGGCCAAAATATAAAAAGGACAACATTTTCTGAACGATGATCTTAATTGAAATGAAATTTACCATTCCGTACTTTGCAATATCTCCGTTCGTAAGACACGTAGACGAAAAGTAAAAGCACTTTTTTTAATATAATGTGATGCACTGTCTGTTTCGCTGTACACTTTGCGTGTACAGTTTGTACACTTGACGCAAGATACAACCGTGTCTCTTGGCATGGTTAAATCGCGGTACCTGCGGAAACCATTAAGCTATAATAACACTAAATAATTAAAAATGAATTATCTATTAGTTAAATTTTTTGGTGGTACGTGTCCGTTTGTGTTACGTAAACCTTCGAACATGTAATTTGTTTCCCTAGTATCACGCGATTCTTCGTATCGCTCGATTTTCTTGTCACGTTTATCTTGTACTTATCGATGTGACACTATACGCTTGAAAAATTATACGGTATTGCAAGAAAGAAAAGAAGAAAATAACATAATACTCCTAATGCAACGTGAGTTATGGGTGGGACATATGATGGACGAATATCGCGTGTGTCACCGCAGTGATTGACGTTTCGTGAACGTACAATTTCTGTGACGTCTTCTTTTTCTTCTCTCCAACAATGATGAATAGCAAATGAAGGGACGATTGGCATGCGTTTTTCAACAGCCTGTGGTTATCTAAACATTATTAGCGTAGACGTAGTACGTTATTAGCGGATACGCGCAATATAGTGTCTGAATATAGGAGACTGTTCGGAAAATATCAGCTGGATCTTGAGGGAGACTCGATATCCACGATGCAAAATCGAGGTGGAGAGATGCAGTCGGCCGTGAAATATTACTACGATATTAACAAGATCCTCATGTCGAAACTCGGTACTTGGCCGACGCAAAGTATATTCGAGAAGACAATATTACCGGCCATATTTTCAATGTTTGTTAGCAGCATCGGTTTTCTTGAGGTAAATTTCCATCATTTTTTATAATAGTATGTAGCCTTGTGAAAACCATTGTGTGAATAAAATTTGTAAGCGAGAGAGAGAGAGAGATATGCTCATGATTAGGACATATACGTACGGTTAAAACGCAGTTAAACTTGACCTTGGCAACGCTACCCAAGATCAGACTGATCAGATCAATGAATAGATCATTTAAAACCCTACAACTTTTGTAGGAAACATTTCTTTCGGAAATGTTTAATCTTATTCTACAATGTTCTCTCTTTGTTTCCTGTTCTTGCTTTTTACTTCTTGCTTTTTCCCCCCTTTGCAACCGTTTTATCGATAATTGTTAAATTTCTTGCTACGTATTTCCTGTTTCTTCCGAAGTTCGTTAACTTTTATCTCGGGCGACATAAAACAAGAAACCGGATAAGAAGCAAAAAGCGAGGCAAAAAGACAAGATGTAAAAAATAGCAAAAAGCAAAAAACAGAAAACAAACAGCATATTGTAGAATAGGCTTTAATTCTCAAGATATTTCACCGGTCCGGGACTTTTTACTCACCCTATATATGTGTGTATATATATATATATA